AAAAAATACCCTTGGAGCGATTTGACATATTTACAAAAATATAAGCTCCTGTTAGTTTCATTTAGTCATGGAAGTCTGTGGGAACCTCTCTTGTTTCTAGAATATGGAATTTGACTTCTCAAGATTTAAATAGTAGTAATTTTTAAAAACAACATTGGTTTTGCATTCCATTCAGGACAGGTGTTAAGTAACAGAGAGAGTCTGTAGGTGTTAATAATTAAATTAAATTTTACATTATATCTGAAAAATAGATTGGTATTTAGTCAAGAATATATGCATTTGATTTCTTAAATCCAGTTTTATGATTATTTATGCATTCAAATTATATGGACACCTACACAACTTAAATATACGCTATTGAAGATGTTGGGCCTATGTTTTAAATTGCATTTCAAACAGTATACTTACAAACAGTAAATGAAACAAAACACTAATTAGTTCTTTTAATTTTCAAGTTCTGCCTTGTTTTCTGTGCTTATCTTTTCATCCTGGGAAAAATAATTTATAACTTAGCAATGTAAACCAGGTGGTCAATTCTGGATAAAACTGATGATCTCAGTTTATACACTGGTATATTTTACATATGACATTGCATTTTACAAGGAGGCGATGAGAAAAAAATTCTGTTTTTCTAAAATCTGCTTGTATGACAAGCATGCAAGTTAGCGAACACAAATCATTAGCCACACTATATTTATCTAATTTATATATAGTTCTTTAAAATCAAAACTGTATGTTTTTTGTGTTGTTTTAGATAGCTTATTCAACTTTATAGAATTTATAAGGTTTTGCATTAGATAAAAGGATAGCTGAACATAGAGACTTACTGTATGAATGAGCATAGCTTATGTGTAATGCTTACTTTATTTTTGCAGTATTATTTTTGTATATTATTTTGCATAATATTTTATATTGTGATATACATTTCATATTATTAAAACATGCATCATATTGAAGTTACTTGTAGATAATTATGTGAGGCTCTAATTGAGAAAAACACTTAAAATGTGATCATTTTTAGGCAGGTACTTATTTTTCATTGACTTTCTTAACTGTCTTTTTTTCGGATGTTACACACACATTAATTCTACCTTAGTTTTTATTACTGCTCTCATCAATTACCTATAACAAAAATATAAACACTTGAAGTCTTTAACAAGGAATTTAATTTAAAAAAATCATATTAAAAATAGCCATTTAATTTTTTAATTTTATCTTTGTTTTATATTTAATTTTCTGTCTGGGGCATCAAATTGTTCAGATATAGGTGCCCAAATAGGCTAATCTACTTACAGATGTATTATGTTACTATTTTTACATAAAAACATTTCAGTATATATATCAGACATATTTAGTCAGGGACGATATGCCTTGAACAGAGGTCTGGACTGTATGATCCTGTGTAGTCCCTTCCAGTCCTACTTATATGATTCTATATCACTTTTTTAATACAGTGTGAATAATTCTGCGTTAACAAAGTATTAAGATGATTGATAGAGTTGTTTTCCTATGCACAAATATATGTCCCAAAACCATGAAAAGAAAATGAAAAATAACTGTCTGTACAAATTCTTGATTGTGCCTGCTTTACGGCTAGGTACAGACATTCAAAAATCCCAAGGTGGAATTGATTTAAGTTGCACGGTTTTCTGTAAGCAGTGTAGTTTAGAGCGGTAGTAAACAGAATACACATTTGCCCCTTGGAAAGGGGGGCGGGGGGACCTTAGACCAGGTTCTACTATTTTTAAACCAGTCTATGCGTGCCAACCAGTCTTCTGTTCTGTTACAGGTATAGAACTTTTTTTGCTGAACTTTTGTTCTGTCACCAGTATAGACCAGTTTTTGCCCGCTTATATCAGTAAAAGTGTAATGTCTATACCTGGCCTGCGTGGGATCTTCATCTGTGATAATAAAGAATGTTTCTCAGAGGATTACGTATAATAGGAGTGATTTCTAAAAATTAGATCTTACAGGTCAGAGCAGCTTAGAAAGATGGGACATCACAAGTGAAACAGCAGTTGACTGTTGTGAATTAATGAGGGAGGAAGACAAAAATGAATCAAACCTTGGATGAAAAAAGTGATCAGGTTGGGCAGATACATGATTAGATGGTATGACGTGGGAGAGGTTAGTCTATGGAGAGGTTTGGAAATTGAGAAGGTAGTCCTGAATTCAGCTGCAAGGTGGTCGACAGTCCCAACGGTTTGGTCCCAGTAACTGGATTAAAGAATAGCTGTCTGTTTTCTATGTAGTTTACAGTTTAGTGAGATATTTTGGTAAATTCAGTAGTCACAAGCTAGTGTGTTAAACTGATTGTCAACAAGAAACAACAGCAAAAATTTTACTGCAAATACAATAACAAAGTTCACAATTGTAAGTATACCAGTTGCAATTCAGATATATACTTTTTACATTAAATGCACCTTTTCCCTATTCTTTCTTCAAAATGAATGTACCTTTATTTAAGAATTTAGGTAGAACTAGTTTAGACATTTATTATTTTCTATTAATGTACACAAAATGCTAAACTTTGAATGCAAATCATGGCCGGACCAGAAACAGGTGGTTTTTGTTACTTCATATATCCTTATAACTATCAACTACCTGGTTTGTATGTGACAGTTGGTCTTACTGTTTTTCTGTGCTGATGCTTAGAAACAGCAGTATAGTAGAACAGGGGTAGAAGGAAACAAAGTAACAAGTATGGTCATAATAGCTATTTTATTTCTTTTTAAAATACTATTCTAAATGTTTCTTTTAATGCCAATATGCTGAATGATTACAGTGCAGTTGTCCATGATGTTGTTTTTCATGCACATATATATCATCCTTCTCATAAAAACTGCTTTGAGTTCCTTCAGTATATTGATATCCTATGTATTTTTTTTTAAATCCATTCACTCAGAAAAATGGGGCCTACATATGTTTTCCTAAAGACATTATCAATTCTCTCTCTTTATTGATTCCGTCTGTAAAACTGGATAGACAAACTTAAAAATTATTTTACACTGGTTGGGTATATTGTAATGACATTTGCATATAATCAGCAGAGAGATGGATACAATTTATAGGTGAAGCAAAACTACATAGTCCTTGTGCAAAATATATCATATAATGTAGGTATAGAATTAAACTGTTTTAGTATGCATATGGCCAATTTTTAAAATTAATATGAATGCTCTTAGGCCAATTTCAGCTATTTTAGTTCTCAGTTTTTGAAGAGTTAATATGTAAGCATAAAGGTTGACTCTGTATATTTCCTTTTATTAGAATTGTGAATAAAAATAGCCCAACTATCATTATTAATATTATCTAATTAGAAAAAAAAATCACCTTTGTAAAAGTTGATGGTAGTCTTAAGTAGAGTTTAGATTATGCAGTGGTTTGGATAAAGATGATCCTGCCTCAGGCGAGGAATTGGACCACATGACCTGTGGAGGTCTCTTCCAACCCTACTTCTCTTTAATTCTATGAAATCAAGCTTCTTTATTCAGTAGAATGAACAAAGTACATTTTTCTTTTCTTGCTGAAGCAAAAGTAGAAACAAAACATTTGCAAATCATTTACGTACTACCGTGTTTGGGCAGAAATGCATTCTTTTTAAGTCATACCTCAGGTATAGATCTAGAGTCATATCATAGAGAATAGCTTTTGGTGTTGTGGGAGCAGGTTTAAATCTCTCTGAAAATGAAAAGCCTTTCCAGGGAAAAACAGAACTGTTGGGATAACGGTCAGTGCGGGAGCCAGCGGAGGGGGTGGGGATTGGGGAGAGGAAAGTTGTAAGGATAGATAATAGGAAAAATTAATAATAAAAAAAAACCACACAGACCATTTTACATTTTAGGGATTGCATTCTTGTGTTAGTTTTACTCGTTCATCTGAAGAGGACTGTTGTAATGATTTATTCACTGTGCCAGCTCCTAAAAAAAGTGTGTAACCCCCCCTCTTTCCCCCCCCAAAAAACAACCCCCCCAAAACCCCAAAAAACCAAAATGAAAAAATTAAAAAAACCCCAAAAAACAAAACCAAAAAAACCTCAAAATAAAACAAAACAAAACAACACCCGCCTACTGACTTTCATTTAGCAGCAGAGGAATCATAACAACTATTAACAAATACTCTCAATTAAGCAATTTTAAATGAAGGTCTGCACTTTATTCCATCTGAACAGAAAATAAAGAGCAACATACATTTAACATTCATAATAAACTTTCAGAAAGGCTATTTTTAGAATTATCAAATAAGTTAGTTTAGGATATTTTTCTAAGTAACTTGCAGTTGAATAAGGAATTAAAAGATGTTGTCACCTGGGCTATATTTTTAATTTTTAGTTTTATAAAATTAGAAGTAATCTTCCTAATTGTGGAATAACTGCAATAATAGAGTATGTAGAAGAACTCTTAATTCTAAAAGTCTTAGGAAATTTTCTGCACATATAATCAGGCAGGACTACCATAATTACAAAATTGTGCAATGGGCAGGGTAAATTTACTTTATTCACATGTTATGAAGAGGAATCGAATGTTTAGGTTTGTTGGATCCTGGATTTCTGCCATTTGTTCTTCATACATGGTCTTTTGGCAGCCTACATCCATGCCTTTGAGTTGCAAGTGACTTTTTGCAAGAGCTTTGATGTACAAAAAAGAACGTACGTTTATGT